GGCTTACACCTGGCCCCACGAGTTCCTGTTATTCCCAAACCATGCGCTAGCAGAAAGTACTCTCTGAATATTGATTTGCATATTTTTAGAAAGTTGTAAGGTATGTGAGGTTATTTCTCCCTGACACGGAGAAGTGTCTCCAAATCCCAGACACGGGGAGTACTGAAGTCAGCATTTGGTGTAAAAAGGCTTTAAACAAAATACTGCGGTAGGTGCCTGAGCCCCCGAATTCAGCAAATCCACAACTTGTGGATTTAACCCCATTTGATAGTTGCACCAATACCTACAGCGAGTGCCCCCGCCACTGAGGCCGATCAGCCTTGGTCAGCTTGCTTAGTAGCTTGATTGCAAGCATTTGTATTTGTTGCATGAGTAATTTTACACAGGCTGGGAGGTGCGGGGAGTTGTTGCTGGTGTGAACGGGTTGGTACCCGTGCCGTCCAGCAGTGGTGGGTGACGCAGACCTGCGCAGGGCTCTGGGCTTTCGCCAAGTCCCGGGGAGCCCCTGCTGCCCACTGCCTGGGGAGGGCAGTGCCCCCGCCACCTCCCAGGGCGCCCGCGCCAGCCCTGCTCCCCCAGGAGGAGAGATCATTAACCAAAGAGCACGTGTGCTGAAGGAGACCATTAATATGCAATCAGTTTTCTTCTCAATAGCTTTTTTTTTTTCTTCACTGCAACTGGTGCAACTTGAGTAATTTCCAAATAAGTAATTTCTGTGACCGCCTTTGGTGTAAATACTCGTATGGTAAAGACTAGTAATAGCAATTCCGATTTTTTTCCCTTTTTTATTATATAAAACTTGCTTCTATTTAAGCCTTAGTCTTGGGTTATAACAAAGCATAAAGTTAAAAGGGTAAGTCCCTCAGAACAAGCCAATGGAAAGGTGGGCCATTTTAATGGCTTGCAACATTTAAACAGTAGAAGAGATTGACTGTCACCATCTCCTGAAAATGAGCATCACCTTTGGGGAAAGGCTGTAAGTTTGTTGCTGATACACTTTACTTTTTGAGTACCACAAAGGAATTTTTCCCACTGTAACCATGCATATGTCTGCACATAGCCTCTACCATATAGCATAATAATACTCTGCACGGCTTTCATGGAGTATAATAATAATAAAAATACTCTGTTTACATGCACTTCCATTATTTTGTAGCAGGAAAACTGAAGCAATATAAATTCATTTTTATAGTGGTTGATGTCAGTTAATACGTTGTTCTTCCAGAAGTAATGTATTGTAATATAAATTTCCCGTTAAGTTAGTGTAGAACAAGGTTTAAGTGACACCATTTGTGAATAACAATTTATTTGTGACTGTGACATAATTTAATGCAAATATATTGCTCTAAAATGAATTGGTCTGATGTCAGATTGATGGTTTGTACTTTTATTGTGCATAGTATTTGTAAAAGTCCACCATCCCACATGTATATAGAAGAAAAGATTATCAGCTGTTCACTATACGAATATCTAGCTTCATTAAAAGGGCTCCGGAGATGTATGTGAATCGTGAAAGAAGAGCTTGTGATGTTTCCACTATAAAACCTTGCTGAAATTCCCTTTGAATTTGTTTTATGTTACTTTTATATACATGTGTGGTTTATGTTTTTATACTTTTTTATTGGACTTTTTTTGTTCAGAATCTCTTCTGAAACCCATACAATTAAATCCACGTAAATGATTTCGCTTCTTCAGAGAAGTGTAAATCTTGGCTTGTTGGAAGTTTAGCATCTAATAATGCATGTGAAAGGAAGAGTGTTTACTGTTGTCACTGAGAGATGGTGGGATCACACTTGACAAGGTCAGCAGTTGGAAAGAAAATCAATTGGACCAGGATCTTTTTAAAGAGAGGGTGTGGAGGCCAAAAGGTCCAAGTCCAACTCCTCCAGCAGCTATTCAGACTTTTTGAATTATTCAGACACCTGACTCTTGATAGGGAATCTTAAGTGACATACTTCACCTTAATATACATTTGTAATAGTCTTGAGTGTTCTGATTTAGTATAGACTGTCCGTGAGTCCAAGGGGAAGGGCGAGGGCTCACGTTGGAAGACGAATGGGAGTTGAGAAGGCAGCGAAAGGGCGCTGTGGTGAGCAGCGGGGCTTTGGGAGGTGCACACGCAAGCCTGAAGAAAGCTTTCAGGGCTGTTTGTGAGCCGTTGTCAGCACGAGGGTGATGTTTACCTGGCTGTTTCTCACTGGAGTCCTTGCTAAATGTTGTATAAAAGGGAACACTGCTTTGGAAAGGTGAAGTTTAAGCTATTTCTTACATCCTTAGAGTCCTGCTGCGAGTGGTAGGGAATGGATAGCAATGACTGCCTGCCTACACGGAAAGATGCAGTCTGAGTCCTCCAAATAGTGTTACCAACAGGTTACCTTGCTGTTGTTCTTTTGTTGTTGGTTTTTTGTTTCTTTGTTCAGGTTTTTTTCTTTTTTACTACTTTCAGCCTTTTTAAATTTCTGTCTGTTACTAATAACTGACCTGAGGCCAAAGAAATAAAAACACTAGATGTGGAAGTTTAGGCATTATTTTTACTAACCTGACCGATGAATCCATGGGCCTGCTCAAAGATACTGTGTTCTTTAAGCAAATTCCTGCTCCTGCTTTTCTCTTTCCGCACTTCCCTTTGACCCTTCTGTAAAGCTATGCAAATAAAAGACATTTTTACTGTGGTTGAGCTGGAAAACAGAAGGGAAGAAATAACTTCAGGCCCACCAAAACGTGTCCTTCAAACTAAAATTCATTTATATTCCTTTTTCTAGGCATCTGAACTTTTATTTGTTTCTTTGGTTTAATTCCACTTGAGCTCTCGAATAATTTAAGCTGATCCCAAGCTTCATTTTTGGTGAATTTGCAGGGGTGGGTGAGGCTTGTGGGAATTACTGTTCTCTTTTTCTGGACACTTTTGCTCTCTTTCACGTTCTGACCTTATTTTTACTGGGATTCCCAGCAAGCTGCTCATCAGTGTGCTTCTGTTCTTGTGCCCTTCTCATGCCAGTGGGAAGAGAAGCATGAGAGTAACTGGGATCGTGCAGTTCCACTCAGTTTAGCATTGCTGTTGCTGCCGCAAGCAACAACTTTTCTATTGCAGGAGAAGAAAACACAGTCACGCGATGTGATGAGCCTGGAGGCTTCTCCCACTTGGGTGTTTGAACAGAAAATGTAGGGGGCTTTATGCAACCCTAAAACTTGGGAGTCCTGCACCCAGTTTCAATTGGATATGAAACATGTTTTTTAAAAGCACCATGCAAAAAGTGTTTTGCAGGTTTTTGAGCAATTGTGTCTGTTTTCTTTCTAGCTCACTTGCTTTAATGTGCTTTAATGTCAGATTTCGTATTCCGTGCACGTGCCCTGGTGTGTTCCTATGTTCTCTCTGAAACACAGCTGTACATGCACACACACAGGGGTGCACGCATCTTCCAGGGGTGATGCCATGTGCATCGTACCTCATTTGAGACGTAGAGAAGAAAAACAATAGAGCAATCCCATGAAAAACAAAGCAGTGCCTACAGCAAGTCTCTGAACAGTCCCCTCAAAGAGCACAGGGGGGCTGTCGCGGCGTGTCAGCCTTCATCCACTGCCCGGTCTGTATCGGGACACGGAAGCAGGGCGGCAATGTAGGATTGTAGTCAACTTCCCCCAAGTCTTTGCGTGACAGATGGATGAGCGGTTTCTGTGAAGCTCTCATCTGTTTACTTGTGGGCTTTTTTGACTCCGTGAATTTTATTAGTGGTGTGCCAAATTACGTTGTTTGTACCAAGGGTCAGATCATCATTTATAGCTTCCATGTGGACTGAAATAAATCCGCTACTGGAGACAGACCCCTCACTCCTTGGTGCTGCTAGCACAGTGCCTGGCGCTTCCTTTGATCCAGCGGGTTTTAATTTATTTTTACTCTTTGTAAAACTTCAGTCTGCTTTGATAATTAATACCCGAGAAATATCATGCGTGAGGCTCACTGAAAGACGCATTGAAGAAAATAGGCTGATGAAGAAGGGGAGAGGAATAGATGTCATTGTATTAAATAGAAGTAACGTTTTAGCTTGAAAGACTGCAGATTTGGGCAACTTTGCCTTTTTGAGGGGGGAGGCTGTTTCTTTGGGTTCAGGGTTTCTTCAGGTGCTCTCTTATCCCCTTCTTTCAGCACGTATGTGTTCAAATGTAGGTGAACTGCTGTATGTGTCGGTAAAAATATCTTGTAAGCTGAAATGGGAGATAACCAAGCGCTCCCGCCTGGCGTTGATGGGATTACCAGGCACTGCGAATCACTCGGGCGAAGAGGCCTGAGGTGACACTTCAGACTCGTTATTACACCGGGGATATTGGTTCCGTTTAAAATAAGAAAGTAGGGTCATCTTGGTGTGGTTCAGTTCAAAGCTTTGAAAATGTCTCTTACTGGAAAGATGTGAAGTAAGCAGCTCTGATCCTGCTGCAGCGCGAGCGCGTCAGCGGCTGAGGGAAGTGGGAGCTGAGCGGCTGTGTTTGCCCTGCGCCCAGCCCCCTCTTTAAACGAGGCTTGCTTTTAAAACAACAAATCCTAAGAAGGGGTGACTGAAAGCTATTTTGTAAGCATTTCTCTCGTTTGGAAGACGGGGTATAACATAGGCTTTTCCTTGCCTTTGATTTTTCTTTTTAAAAGGATTTTAAAACCATGTAGTCCTTGTCCTAAGATACGCTTATTACAGAGTTCAGTGATGTTCCCTGAAGTTGTAATCTAGCTTGAACTGTTTCCCCTGGCTATACTACGAGACAATTTGACTTTCCGTGAAGTTTTGAAAACCATATGTGGGAATAATGTTTCAACTTCATGCTCTCTCTGCACTGCGAATGACAAAACACACTTTGAAGTTCTCTTTCGTACTCGCTGCCTTTTGCATGCGAATGAATATTAATAAAAGTAGACCTGCACTCACTTTCGGTTTTAATAGGATATTCTGTCATCTCTTTAATTTGTCTGTCTCTTGAATTTCCTATTTTTAAAAGTTTTATTTTGTTTGTAGTGCCAGGCCCTATACCTGCCAAGTCGGTGAAGGGAACTCCTTTTGAAGATAAGATCTTCCTCAACTGGAAGGAACCTGTGGATCCAAATGGCATCATTACTCAGTATGAGGTAATCATTAAACAGCTAACAAGCATAGGCTAGGGCTAGGAAACTGTTCTGTAGGCAGCTATTCAGTTACACGCTGTTTTCATTTACAGAATACTGGATTTTGTGTAGCGATTAGGTATTCAGAAATCATAATTATAGTGCATATGTTGTTGGCTGGCCAGCCCTGTCAAGTGGCTTTGGCATGTGAGTATAACAATACTACAATCCACGTGGGAGGTGCTGGTTTTAAAAATCGTGTGTCATCACTGTGCATCCTTCCAAACCCATGACAACCATGATCTGTGAAATCTTCGTTGGAAGAGAAGGTTACATGAAAAGTAAGATGGTTATTAAATTTGGAGCAATGTTTTTAGCTTTGTCAGATCTTTAGATATCACCCTTCAAGGAAACTTCCATGTATATTCTATTTAAGGAGTATTTAATATAAGCCTTCTGGGGACCTCCACAGGAGGTTGGCAGGAACACGAGCTGATTTGTGGAACAAGGACCATCCAGTCCAATGCTCCTTTTTTAAAGGAACAGAGGATGGAATTTTGTGTACTAGTGAATTACGGGAGAAAGACAAACCGACTAACCTAACAAAACCCCTTAAATATGTTTGTTTATCTATTTAATGCTAACAAAGTTCTTTAAATAGTGTGGGTTAACCCTGGTGGACAGCTCAAGCCCCACTCAGCTGCTCGCTCACTCCCCTGCAGTGGGATGGGGGGAGAATCCGAAGGGCAAAAGTGTGACCTTCTGTGTTTTAATCACAAATCCAAAACACAGCACCAGATGAGATGCTACAAAGAAAATGAGCTCCATCCCAGTCAAAACCAGCAGATTAAGATATCGTTGCTGGCTTTAAATATATTAACTCGGTTTGGGCCTCATTTAAATATGATTATTAGAAGAGGAGAGGGAAGTGTATTACAGGAAGTGAAGAATAAAGGGGTTTGGTGGAGATGGAGAGGATGGTGGGAGTGTCCTAACTTAAATTTATCCATGAAATTTTCCATACGTGAACTAAAATCACAAAGAAAGAGAGATGAAGGGCACCTGCATAGCCTTTCAAGTGAAGCAGACTCTACAATAATACACATCAAGTCCTCATGGGTGTCCCCGAGATAACTGTGTAGCCAGATGAGCACGTGTCTTTTGTTTCCTTCCCAGCCAAGCTAACCTAATCCCCTTGTGCCAAAAACTCTTAACAGTTATTACCAAAAATAATTGGTTTTGCAGGTCAGCTATAGCAGTATACGGTCGTTCGATCCTGCAGTTCCAGTCGCAGGACCTCCGCAAACCGTGTCAAAGCTGTGGAACAGCACGCACCACGTCTTCTCACACTTGCATCCTGGTACTACTTACCAGTTCTTTATACGTGCAAGCACCGTCAAAGGGTTTGGACCAGCAACCACAATCAATGTCACAACTAACATCTCAGGTAAAAACAAAAACAAACAAACAAAACAGTGTGTGTGTGTGCGAATGTTGACTGGTTTTATAAGGTTTTGGGGGTTGTTTTTTGTAAGACTTGAAAAATCAGGAACTGTGAAAGAAAAACCCCCCAAAATCCTATCATACTGTGAAACGCTATTACAGAAAATGTTTTTGAGCATATTTGCCAAACAGTAGCATAACTTCAGGGATAACTCCTTGCATGAGGTGGAAATTGCACACCTGTAGTTGTCAACTGTTTGATTTTGTGTAATCTTGTACTTTCATCTAAAGATTCTGAAGTGCTGTATAAACCTTAACTAATTAAGCCTTTCAGCACTCCATAGGTCACTAAGTACTATATTTGTTTTGCAGATTAGTAAAGTCAGATGCAGAAAATTAACTGACTTGCTCAAGGTGACACCACTTAGCAGCACCCAGCTATAGCAGAGTTGGGGCAGCTGGGAGGAAGTGTGAATTTCTTTTCCCAGGTTCATGTAGGTCTCCTCCTTCGTGCCTTTATTTACTTACCGTGATGCACCAAGATTAACAGTATTCATCTTAATAATGCACTGCAAACTCTAGAAGACGGTAACGTCAGATGGAATGCTTTAGTATTTTTATTTCCTTAAATTTCAGTATTACTCTCAAAGAATGAGATAGTAGCTTATGCAGGTGATAGCAGAAGATAAGTCAGTGCAGTATCTAGAGAGACTGTTGATTTTATGACATGGTGACTTCAGAGCTTGGCAGAGATCAAAGTCGTCAGTCATGTAGAAATGTAAACAGCACAAAGCAGGCTACTTTCCTTATTATCTGCCATAATGAAACCTATATTGTCTTGTAGAGGGGGGTTAATAATGTATTGGAATGCACCTACCATTTTTGTAGGAAACTACTCACGTAGTCTCCCCACCCAGTTTGCAAAAAACAAGCACATAAATCAAAATGTGAGAAAATTCAAGGCAGAGCTCTTTTAATTGTGTACCAAGTGAAATGCTGTAGTCGTAGTTAACTGTAAAACTTTGTTGAATTCCACCCCAGCACATAAGTACTGGCGCTCCTCACACCCCAGTCCCTTGAAAAAAACCCAACCAAACAAACCACCAAAAAAACCCCAAGCAACATGTTCTGTTCTGTTTATCTAGCTGTTAGGTTGTTTTGAAGTCTAATGTTTTACTCAGGTTCTTTTAAGGTCCTGTGTTTCTTCACAACAAATTCTAGTTCGTAAATTTTCAGGGATAATGGTGGTGTAGTACTTGCATACCTGTCTTCTCTTTGTAGGAGGAAAAAAAAACAAGTGTAACTATCTAATATCTTGCTAGCATGTCTGTCCCCCAGACATTTCAGTATTTTGAGAAATAAGCACCTCAACATGTTTGGATTCTTTAGGCCTACAGTGTGCTTAGGCTTCTTCAGATGTGCACTCTTTTCACCCCCAAATTTTGGGAATTTTGTCCAGAATCCAGTCTACCACGCTTTCTAGACACAGTATGGGTCTGTTAGTTGGCAAAACATGGCTAATGCTAGGAAATCTTAAAGGTAGGCAGTGACACCCTTTGTGTCTGAATTTCAGTCTGTTTTTTTTTTATCTAGCTTTATGCTGAACTGTGGTCTGGTTTCACTCTGCATAACTGATACTTTTTATGAAGCAACGCATATGTTTCAGGAAATGCTAGCTTTATTTTAATGAGGAGCAAAATTATTCCTTTTAGCCAAGCTTACAAGTGGTTTGCCATGATCCTAGTGAACATGATGTACATAGTAATTTATAAATGAACATTAAATGAACGTTGTATCTATAAAAATAATACTTCATGAAATAAATTTTTGTGTTCATCTAGGATCTGGAACTAATGAAGCAAGGCTTTTAATCTTTCAGTGCTCTTCTATCTGTTAAGATATTATCGTAAAATTATTATGACTTAAATGATTGACATCCTGCTAGGAAACATCTTTTTTTGTGAAAGTTCATCATACAGGCTTCATTAACAATTTTATAAAGGTACAGCCTTTTAAAAAAAATTGAGTTAGTTTTCAAGCTTGTTAAAGGTTAGTAATGAATAGAATTCTATTATTTTCTGAATCACAGAAAATCCTGTTTCTTTCCTTGCGCTAGAGCTGAAGTCAGCAACAACAGTATTGCCAGTGAGGGCTGCGACAGATTTGTGCAGAAGATTAAAGTTGGGTGATTGAAGTGATGACCAACACTAGCTAGCCAAGCCACAACAAATAT